CCCCCATTTCACTCAATAATTCCCGAGCACCCAAAAGTCCTCCTCTACCCCCCCCCCTTCTTTCCCGTCCGCCCCCACAGGGCATGGGCGTTGAGATCTGTGCCCACGTCTTTCCGCACCCTGACCCCCCATTTTTTAACAGCATTTTTTTCCAGGACTGCAACAGGCAATGAAGGCGTTCATTTCCCCAAAATCCTGGGGCCCACTCCAAAGAAAGCGTGGCCTCCCAAGGGCCCCGAGCCAAACGCAGGGGTTTACGCATGAGCTGCCCCAAGGGGGTGGGCATCAAGTTTTCACAGGGAGTTTCCTTTAAAACCCTTTTAACATCAGGAAAAAACTGAGATGGCCTTTCGCCCGTTTGTAAAGGGGGTCTAACATATGAAAGGGTTGAATTTTCCCCCTTTTTGCAAAAGTCAAAAGCATGAGGGGTTTGTAAAGGGGGCCCATGGCAGATTACGGGGCCCGGGAGCAGCAATGGGAGCCAGTAATTTTTCCCGCAAATGACAAAAAATGTAACACACCAGCAGTGTGAGGAGATCTGAAAGTGGCACATGGCAGAGTGTGGCGATGGAGACAGCAGCAATGGGAGGCCCGTACAGGGACCCATGAGAGACTCTGGAACCTGGCAGCAGCATGAGGAGGCGGTATAAGGGGCGCATGGCAGATTAGGGGCCTGGCAGCAGCTATAGGAGGCCCGTAATCTGCCAGCACCCTATGACAAAAAATGGAACACTACCAGCAGTGTGACGGAGACCTGAAAGTGGCACATGGCATGAGACACTGTGGACCTGGCAGCAGCATGAGAAGGCAGTACAGGGGCCCATGGCAGATTAGGGGCCTGGCAGCAGCTATGGGAGGCCCGTAATCTGCCAGCACACCCTATGACAAAAAATGGAACACACCAGCAGTGTGAGGAGACCTGAAAGTGGCACATGGCAGAGTGTGGTGATGGAGACAGCAGCAATGGGAGCCATACAGGGACCCATGAGAGACTCTGGACCTGGCAGCAGCATGAGGAGGCGGTACAGGGCCCATGGCAGATTAGGGGCCTGGCAGCAGCTATGGGAGGCCCGTAATCTGCAAGCACCCTATGACAAAAAATGGAACACACCAGCAGTGTGAGGAGACCTGAAAGTGGCACATGGCAGAGTGTGGCGATGGAGACAGCAGCAATGGGAGGCCGTACAGGGACCCATGAGAGACTCTGGACCTGGCAGCAGCATGAGGAGGCGGTATAGGGGCCCATGGCAGATTAGGGGCCTGGCAGCAGCTATAGGAGGCCCGTAATCTGCCAGCACCCTATGACAAAAAATGGAAACACACCAGCAGTGTGAGGAGACCTGAAAGTGGCACATGGCATGAGACACTGTGGACCTGGCAGCAGCATGAGGAGGCGGTACAGGGGCCCATGGCAGATTAGGGGCCTGGCAGGAGCTAGGGAGGCCCGTAATCTGCCAGCACCCTATGACAAAAAATTGAACACACCAGCAGTGTGTGAGGAGACCTGAAAGTGGCACATGGCAGAGTGTGGCGATGGAGACAGCAGCAATGGGAGGCCGTACAGGGACCCATGAGAGACTCTGGACCTGGCAGCAGCATGAGGAGGCGGTACAGGGGCCCATGGCAGATTAGGGGCCTGGCGAGCAGCTATGGGAGGCCCGTAATCTGCCAGCACCCTATGACAAAAAATGGAACACACCAGCAGTGTGAGGAGACCTGAAAGTGGCACATGTTTTGGGGCATGATTCATGGCGGATTTAGTCAGTTGTGTCAGGAACTGGTGGTTTGAAATCCAGACTAATCCACGCCAGATTCATTTTCACAAACATGAATCTCTCCACACTTTGGGTGGACAGTCGTGTCCTCCGCGGAGTTACAATACCTCCTGCCGCACTAAAAACACGCGCTCCGATGCCACGCTACTGGCCGGGCATACAGCCTTTCAAGGGCAAATTCAGCTAGTTGGGGCCAAAGGTCAAGTTTCGTTGCCCAGTAGTCAAGGGGATTGTCTACCTCGGTTGGCAGGGTGCTGTCCAAGTAGGCCTAAGCCTGTTGTTTGAGGTCCTGCTCCAGGTCCACCCATGATGCTGCTGCTGCTGCGGCTGGTTAGTAGTTTCCTCACTGCGCTGGTGAAGAAAGCTACTCATCATCGACTGCAGACTGAGGCAGCCGCTGCTGGTGGAGCTGCCACTGCTCCTACCACCCCACCCCTCCTTTGCTGCCATGGCAGCGGAACGCGAGCGCACAGGGCCCACAGTGTCTGAGGATGGACGTTGGCGCACAAAGGCAGAGACCAACTGACTACATAGGTGGTTTTTATAGTACGTTATTTTGGCCTCCCTCTCAGCAGGTGTGAAAAAGGCCACCATTTTTGAACGGTAGCGAGGGTCCAACAAGGTGGACAGCCAAAAGTCATCCCTCTGTCTGATGGTTATTATTCGGCTGTCGCTACGCAAGCAAGCGAGCATGCTATGGGCCATTTGTGTGCCAAGGAATGCGAGGGACTCCCTGCCTCCATCTCCAGAGCATACTGCCATGGTGCATCTGGGTCCTCTGTCTCCTCCTCCTCCTCCTCTACCAGATGCTCCTGCTCCTCCACTCCTGTCCGCTGAGTGGAAAAACCACCCATTTCACTCAATAATTCCTGAGCACCAATGTCCTCCTCTACCTCCTCCTCTTCTTCCTGTCCTGCTGCCCCACAGGGGTCATGTGGCGTTGAGATCTGTGCGCCACGTTTACCGCACCCTGACCAGCCATTGTTAACAGCATTTGTTCCAGGACGTGCAACAGAGGAATGACGTCGTCATCATCCCATAGTCCTGCTGACTCACGAATAGCGTGGCCTCCTCAAAGGGCCTGAGCAAGCGGCAGGTGTCACGCATGAGCTGCCAATGGCTGATATCGAAGTTACACAGGGGAGTACCTTTATCCCTTGTAACATCAGGAAATCGGTGATGGCCTTTCGCTGTTCGTAAAGGCGGTCTACCATGTGTAGGGTTGAATTCCACCTTGTTGCAACGTCGCAGATCAGGCGATGCTGTGGAATTCCGTTCTGCCGCTGCAGCTCAAGGAGGGTGTGCTTTGCGGTGTAGGAATGGCTGAAATGCATGCAAAGTTTACGTGACATTTTAAGCATGTCTTGCAGTGGGATGGTGGATTTTAGGAACCGCTTGACAACCAGATTGAACACGTGAGCCATGCATGGCGCATGGCACAACCTTCCTTGACGCAGAGCAGACACCATGTGTTTTTCCGTTGTCGGTCAACATGGTTCCGATTTTCAGTTTGCGCGGAGACAGCCATCTGTCGATTTCTCTGTTCATTACACTGAGAAGTTCCTCCCCTGTGTGACTACGTTCGCCTGGACCTGGCAGCAGCATGAGGAGGCGGTACAGGGGCCCATGGCAGATTACGGGCCTGGCAGCAGCTATGGGAGGCCCGTAATCTGCCAGCACCCTATGTCAAAAAATTGAACACACCAGCAGTGTGTGAGGAGACCTGAAAGTGGCACATGGCAGAGTGTGGCGATGGGGACAGCAGCAATGGGAGGCCGTATAGGGACCCATGAGAGACTCTGGACTTGGCAGCAGCATGAGGAGGCGGTACAGGGGCCCATGGCAGATTAGAGGCCTGGCAGCAGCTATGGGAGGCCCGTAATCTGCCAGCACCCTATGACAAAAAATTGAACACACCAGCAGTGTGAGGAGACCTGAAAGTGGCACATGGCATGAGACACTGTGGACCTGGCAGCAGCATGAGGAGGCGGTACAGTGGCCCATGGCAGATTAGGGGCCTAGCAGCAGCTATGGGAGGCCCGTAATCTGCCAGCACCTTATGACAAAAAATGGAACACACCAGCAGTGTGTGAGGAGACCTGAAAGTGGCACATGGCAGAGTGTGGCGATGGAGACAACCCACCGACTGTTTTGCTCGCTGCCAAGCTGCCACCCTCTTCTCCTGATGATGCGGAAGCAATAGCCTGATGACGACGAGGCTGCCAAGTGCGATCAGCCTCATCATCATCAATTAGGGTCTCCGCCTCACTACTAGCTCCCTCGGCTGCGTGTGGGTCAGGAGACAGACCTGTCTCTAGACCGGCTACCGAGCCACTCTCCTCGCCACTACTGCTTCGCCTGGCTGCTGAAGAGGCGGATCTCTCCCCCCGTTCCTGACCGCCCTCTGTTAGCTCTTCCTCACTGTACTGGATGACACCGGGAGCACTGGCCTCTGGCTGCGAATAGTGCTGCCTCGACCCCTTCCTCTGCTGCCACGTCTGCTCGCTCCTAAAACATTGCCTCCTCTGCCACTCCTCTGCATGTTGTCTGACATACTCTTTAATTAAACGATTCTGTGTCCCTGAGTAACAATTCTGTGTCTGTCCCTGAGTAACAATTCTGTGTCTGTCCCTGAGTAACAATTCTGTGTCCCTGAGTAACACGTTTCTGTGGCCCTAAGTAACAGTTCTGTGGCCCTCAGTAACAATTCTGTGGCCCTCAGTAACAATTCTGTGTCTGTCCCTGAGTAACAATTCTGTGTCCCTGAGTAACAATTCTGTGTCCCTCAGTAACAATTCTGTGTCCCTCAGTAACAATTCTGTGTCCCTCAGTAACAATTCTGTGTCCCTCAGTAACAATTCTGTGTCTGTCCCTGAGTAAGAATTCTGTGTCTGTCCCTGAGTAACAATTCTGTGTCCCTGAGTAACGTTTCTGTGGCCCTAAGTAACAGTTCTGTGGCCCTCAGTAACAATTCTGTGTCCCTCAGTAACAATTCTGTGTCCCTCAGTAACAATTCTGTGTCTGTCCCTGAGTAACAATTCTGTGTCTGTCCCTGAGTAACAATTCTGTGTCCCTGAGTAACGTTTCTGTGGCCCTAAGTAACAGTTCTGTGGCCCTCAGTAACAATTCTGTGTCCCTCAGTAACAATTCTGTGTCTGTCCCTGAGTAACAATTCTGTGTCTGTCCCTGAGTAACAATTCTGTGTCCCTCAGTAAACAATTCTGTGTCCCTCAGTAACAATTCTGTGTCCCTCAGTAACAATTCTGTGTCCCTGAGTAACAATTCTGTGTCCCTCAGTAACAATTCTGTGTCCCTCAGTAACAATTCTGTGTCCCTGAGTAACAATTCTGTGTCTGTCCCTGAGTAAGAATTCTGTGTCTGTCCCTGAGTAACAATTCTGTGGCCCTAAGTAACGATTCTGTGGCCCTAAGTAATGTTTCTGTGGCCCTAAGTAACGTTTCTGTGGCCCTAAGTAACGTTTCTGTAGCCCTAAGTAATGTTTCTGTGGCCCTAAGTAACGTTTCTGTGGCCCTAAGTAACGATTCTGTGTCCCTCAGTAACAATTCTGTATCCCTGAGTAACAATTCTGTGTCTGTCCCTGAGTAACAATTCTGTGGCCCTAAGTAACGTTTCTGTGGCCCTAAGTAACGATTCTGTGGTCCTCAGTAACAATTCTGTGTCCCTCAGTAACAATTCTGTGTCTGTCCCTAAGTAACAATTCTGTGGCCCTAAGTAAAGTTTCTGTGGCCCTAAGTAACGTTTCTGTGGCCCTAAGTAACAATTCTGTATCCCTCAGTAACAATTCTGTCTGTCCCTGAGTAACAATTCTGTGTCCCTAAGTAACGTTTCTGTGGCCCTAACTAACGATTCTGTGGCCCTAAGTAACGTTTATGACTGGAGGCAAATGGAGAATTCTAAAATGGCCGCCATTTATAGCTCGACCATTACACTGTGCTGGCTGGCTGGCTGCTGATTGGCTAATGCGATCACATGTCATGAATGAATGCATTATGGGTCAGCGCGCCTTGTCTGCGCGCCTTCCCAGACATCCCCGCTCCATCGCCGCACATGTCGCCGCCATTTTAGGAAAAATTTCGATTCGCGCATCCGAAGTCTGCTTATTTTCGGATTCGGATTTCGGATTCGAAATTTTCCTAATATTCGAAACGAATTCCACTTCGCCTACTTCGATTCGCTCATCTCTAGTTACAACCTTATTCCAAAATAGATTAAATTATTTTTTTCCCTCAACATTCTACAAACAATACTCATAATGACAACATGAAAGAAGTTTGTTTTGAAATCTTTGCAATTTATTAAAAATAAAAAATGAAAAAACACACATGTACATAAGTATTTACAGCCTTTACTCAATACTTTGTTGAAGCACCTTTAGCACCAATTACAGCCTAAAGTCGTTTTGAGTGTGATACTACAAGCTTGGAACACCTATTTTTGGGCAATCTCTCCCATTCCTCTTTGCAGTATCTCTCAAGCTCCATCAGGTTGGATGGAGAGTGTCGGTGCACAGCCATTTTCAGATCTCTTCAGAGATGTTCAAATCGGGTTCAAATCTGGGCTCTGGCTGGGCCACTCCAGGACATTCACAGCATTGGCCCGTAGCCGCCCCTTTGCTATGTGGGCTATGTGCTTAGCTTTGTTGTCCTGTTGAAAGATGAATCGTCGCCCCAGTCTAAAGTCCAGAGTGCTCTGGAACAGGTTTTCATCAAGAATGTCTCTGTACATTGCTGCAGTCATCTTTCCTTCAATCCTGACTAGTCTCCAAGTTCCTGCCACTGAAAAACATCACCGCAGCTTGATGCTGCTACCACCACCTTGCTTCACTGAAGGGATAGTATTGGCCAGGTGGTGAGTGGTGCCTGGTTTCCTCCAGACATGACGCTTGGCCTTCAGGCCAAAAAGTTCAATCTTTGTTTCATCAGACCAGAGAGTTTTTTTCTCATGGTCTGAGAGTCCCTCAGGTGCCTTTTGGCAAACTCCAGACGGGCTGCCATTTGCCTTTTACTGAGGAGTGGCTTCTGTCTGGCCACTCTACCATACAGGCCTGATTGGTGGAGTGCTTTAGAGATGGTTGTTTTTCTGGAAGGTTCTCCTCTCTCCACAGAGATATGCTGGAGCTCTTTCAGAGTTATCATTGGTTCTTGGCTACCTCCCTGGCTAAGGCCCTTCTCCCTCGGTCGTTCATTTTAACCGGGCGACCTGCTCTAGGAAGATTCCTGGTGGTTCCAAACTTCTTTCATTTACAGATGATGGAGTCCAGTGTGCTCATTGGGACCTTCAATGCTGCAGAAATCTTTCTGTACCCTTCCCCAGATATGTGCCTTGATACAATCATGTCTTGGAGGTCTACAGACAATTCCTTGGGCTTCATGGCTTGGTTTGTACTCTGACATGCACTGTTAACTGTGGGACCTTATATAGACAGGTTTATGCCTTTCCTAATCATGTCCAGTCAACTGAATTTCCCCCACATGTACTGTGGTTGTAAGCCAAATAAAGTGGTTCTTCAGTCATTTAAAAAAAAAATAAAGACAGCAGCCAGAAATACTGCAGCTGCTGACGTTTAATAAAGAGATACTTACCAGTTCAGAGATCCAGCACTGTCCTCATCCGAGCTGAATCTTTGTCAGTCTTCGGGTCCCTGGTAACACCATTTTCACTACTGGCTTCAAAGCCAGCTCCCCACTGCACAAGCACAAGGTGTGGTGCGCTCTGTGAATTGTTCTGCAACCCAACAAGATGTTGCAGGCGGGCAGAAGTTTGAACAAGTACTTTCCAGAAATGGGTACATGCTTACTAAATTGAAAAAAACTGCCAAAAATGGAAGAGGAGCGAGGAGGAGGTGGATCAGCAGAACTTCCCTTTTTAGGTGAAGTTCCGCTTGAAGTAAAAGATTAAAATAATCAATTACGCATCCAAATAATGTGATGCCAGAATACCATGTTGATGATGCTGTCTGTAAAGATCATACTGTTCCTTAACACCACATACAGCTTAAATGCATCTCCTAAGCATGTAATTTAAAGTGGTTCTTCACCCTGGGAACAAACAAATTAAAAGTCAACAGCTACAAATACTGTAGCTGCTAACTTTTAATAAAAGTTCAATGAAATGTTTAAGGATCCATTGCCATCCCCACCCGAGCCAGTTCTTCACTGGTCTTCAGGTCCCTGGCACTGGCATGTTAACGGTGGGCAGCCAGCTTTGACTCCTTGTGGCTACACAGCCGACTGCCCACTGTGCATGTGCAAGCCACACTGTGCATTGTGAATAATCCCACAGCCTTCTGGGACCTGTGACATGAAGCTTGCGGGCAGGAAGGGAGGAGTAGACATTCTGTTGAAACCATTGTGGCAATTCGACCGGAAGTGGTTGTGATAGGTACCTGCTCCCCCCCAAAAAAACGTTTCAAAGGTGGTAGAGAAGAGCGGGAAGGCAGAAAAGCAGAACTTCCCCTTTTGGGTGAAGTTCTGCTTTAACGGATTGGTGTTTTGTCAATGTCACCCTTGAAGTCACATTAAAGTAGCCTCTCCCCAATAAAATGTTTTTATTCTGTTAAAATTTCAATATGCTGCTCTCCATACCCTTTTTTTGGCAACAGCTTGCATACTTGCCTTGAAAATGGTGAGAATTTAGTATAAATAGACACCCCCTTAGACTTCAGTTTCATTTGCAGCTAATTTTGCAGCATTTGACAAACCCCCAATGAATTGAATCCAGACAGGTTATTTACACTGATCAGCTATAACTTTATAACCACTGACAGGTTAGGTGAATAACAATAAATATTGCATTATAATGGCATCTGAAACTCAGTGGGGTATATAAGGCAGCAAGGAAACTCTTTGTCCCTGAAGTTGATGTGTTGAAAGCAAACACATTGGCATTGCAGTTTGTTGTATATGGGGCTGTGTAGCCACAGACCAATCAAGGTGCCCAAGCTCAGCCAAAAGCACCTACAAAGATCACGTGAGCATCAGAACTGAACCACAGGGCAATAGAAGAAGGTGGCCTGGTCTGATGAATCACATTTTCTCTTACATCACGTGAATGACTGAGTGCGTGTGCGATGCTTACCTGGGGAAGAGATGGT